CCAAACTAGCAGACATGCCTAGGAGACCCAGCACTACTGATGGCACTACTAGTAGTATGCCAGGTTAATGGATTCAATTGTAGAAAAAAAATTTATTTAAGCCTTCAAAACGCTGATCTGTGTCGAGGTGTACTAATTTCGATTGAATTCTGCGCACGATCCGACTTAAAGTCACGTTGGAGAGGGGAAGGAAAGCGGTGGAAAATGAATACGTTGTGGGAAAACTTGGAGAACAAGGACTCATTCGGCTTAGATGGCCTAAGGTGGTTTCAAGAGTGAGAGTTGCGTTTGTGACACAATCAGATGATGCCGTTGCATTTCCCCCTTACCATTGCCTCCCCAAACTGCCATTTATGCAATTATTACTACTTACATCGAAAATAAGTAGTCTCCTTGATTGCTTAGTCGACAGTCCCATCTTGTGGCATCTGTAACGGCGTCAGGAGTGCCTACGTGTCTTGGCTGACTGCAGCTTCACTCAGTGACAGCCTCAAGACTGGGCAGATGGAAAAATTCCACCTTCCGCCGGAGGTGCCAAGGCAAAAGTAGTGCATAAGTAGTCTCTCGATAAAAAAGAGGCCTTCAACTTACCCCCGATTCGGCTGGACCAGCCAACACGGAGGGTATGAAGAAAGCGACAAGGCCGGCCAGCAGAAGAGACGTCCAGCTCATCTTCCGCGGCCGAAGCAATGAGTCGGGGATCGGGATTCGAGCTTGCGGCGTGTCATCCTCTCCTGACGACGCCACCGTCGGACTGTCGATGCACAACAGTGTCGGGCTGCATTCGAGTGCCAGACCTTGTGGGCCGGGGGTGGAGGAGGTCGGTGGCTACACACTCATGACCGGACACGACTTAGATCCTGAGCTCGAGTCCCGGCTGCGATGGAGGGTTTGGACGCGTGACAAGAGCACTTGTAAACCGGCTGGCGAAGAGTGATGCCAAATATCGCTGGCCGAAGGGGAGTGAATGAGTGAAAGCGAGACATGCAGCCGGCCAGACAGACAGACAGACAGACAAACAGATGGACGGACGAACGGATAGACGGACTTCTGCCATCGAGATGATCCTCGTGTCCGACCGGGAGGCATCCATCGCCCCCGGGACTCTGCACGTATAAACATGCTGTCGAAAGGGTGGGACCGGTATCCTGGACACACACACACACAAACACAGACACCGAGGACGGACGTCTGGCTGGTGTAAACAACGCTTCGATGAGAGGTGACAACCGTACCGGCTCGAGCCCGTCGAACTGAGGAAGAGGGGAGGTGAGTTGTGTCATCCGACGGGGGGTGGGGGTAGGGGGGGACAGGACCGGCTTTTGGTACAGCGCGATTCGACCAAGTCAGTACATTGGACGGATCAGTTGATTGGTCGGACGACTCAACTGGTAGGCTGTCATGGCGACAGACGAGTCCCCGTTTGGCCGAAACGTGGCAGCCTTTATCCCTCTCTCTTGCTCTATCCCGCTCTCTCTCTCTCTCTCTCTCTCTCTTGTATTCAACCTTCTTTCCTTCTATCTATCAAGCTATCTATCCACCTGCATCACTCTCCGTTTGTCGGGTTGTACAGCAGCAGATGTGTGTGTGTAGTTGCGGTGGTGGCGTGTGATGTCTCACCGAAGATGGTATGTTTGACAAGGTGGATGTGTACATGTGGATGCAATGCCA